GTGTGCGGGCAGGGCTCCCCTGGGCCCAGCTCATCGGTCCTCGGTGCACCTGGCTGCAGCCCCGGGCGGTGCCACGCCGGCCGCCGTGCCCGCCGCTCGCCTGGCTGCCCCGGCTGATCTAGCTGTCTTGCTTCTGTGGAGTCTCTTGGGGCGCTTAGTGCTGGAGCCGTCAGGCTGGTAATGCGCTGTGGCCTTTGTTTCCTTCTGTTATCCCCTAAAGGAAGAATGCCAGCTGTGGGACAAGAAGTGCAGGCCGTGCCACTTCCACGGGTACTGGTGGGATGTGGCGATTCTACACTGAGGACTCTCCAGGGCTCAAAGTGTAAGTTGGATGTATGGGTGGTGGCAGGCGTGGGGGTTATATATTTTACATGCTTATGTAATCTTTCAGTCTTTGAATTGAGAGATCAGTGTTCTGGTCTGCATGGGAAAACATGCTGAATTGATGTCTGCTTTGATAGATTTGGGATGAAATATTTTATTTAATCTGCAAACCTGGAGAGGTAGTTTTTAAAGTTATAGTTTTTTTAAAAAGGTAGGTACAAGTTGTATTCTGTAATTATCTAGACTTACCTTAAGTGATCTTTGAAGACTGCAATCGGTCCCTTTGAAGTTGGGAAAGATTACTTGTCACAGTGAACTTAGGCATCTGCATGCATGTTCTCTTTTAATTAAACTTCTGTTTTTTCTTTATTATATCCTGATATATCCTCTGATCCTGCCCTCCCAACACTTGAAAATATAATGTAACCAATATGCCACATGCTTGCAGTATCTTAGGTGTTTTTATTAAAAAGCTGAAGGCAAATTATTTTAGCTAAGCTTGCAAAGTGAATAGCATTGCGATACCTTGTATATCTCTCTTTCTACAAGGTGAATATTCCAAGATTGTGGTCAGATACCTGGTGGTAGCGTCCCTTGAGCTGTAAAGAGAGCCCAAGTTTTTACTTCTTGGCCAGTTGGAGTCATCCAGATCAGTTTCCCAAACAAACTTTGCAGCCTAATACTTGGGTAACAAAGGTGGAAGGTGTATTTCAACTGATGGGTGTGTGTTAAATCATACCCTGAGTGGGCAGTTTGTGCTTTGTGTAGGGTTATGCTTTATGGCCTCTTGTTCTCACTGGGTTGAAGAGACTCAAGACACTTGGAGATGTCCCTATTGCTTCTTTTTTTCTGGAATCAATTAGTATTTTATTTTGGAGCCCTTTAAGAGGGCTGCTGCTGGCTGCACTTGGGGAGGGGCTGGTGATAGCCTAGTTTGTGATTGTTCCAAGAGGAATCCTTCCTCTGAAGTTGTCTTTTGTGTTTTCTTTTTCATATGTGCTTGACAATTTAACAACCAAAAACTATACAGCAAACCATCAAAGCAGTGGTGTTCTGAAAGCTACTGCAGGTCTTGCTTTCTCCATTCTGAATCCAGAGAGGAGACAAGGCGAAGAAAAGGAAAAGACAATGAGCAACAATAGTGTTCTAAAGCAAATCTATGCAGATAGGCAAAGCAAGTAGTTTCTGTGTTGTTTGGCCTACTAAAGTTCAAATTAAAAAATGAATAAAACCAAACTGAGAAAAAAAAAAAAAAGTGTTTTACCATTAGGTAGATTTTTAAAAATTCAATAGACTTGTGGCACAAGCTGTCAAAGCAGCTTTACCAATTTCAGTAAGTTTCGTTTTGGTTTCACTTTTGATGTCATATGACCACTCAGTTATTCTAATCTTCAATACAAGCAGATCAGATTTTCCCTCTATTTATGCTGCAACACAATGGTTGCCAATTTTAAGGCTTTGAAACACTGGGAAAGCTTTTTGTGCAACTTACCATGGGCAGCGGTATGGTCGGGCTTTTAATGGAAGAAGCTAATTTTAAAAGTGAGTTGGTTTTACAAATCACCTGCAAGCTAGATGTTATGTTTTCTGAACCATAACTTGGGAGCAACTTTCTTGCTTGCAGCTTTCCATGTATTTTTCTACGTGTGTTTTTTCCATAGCAACCAATTGTTATGGTCTCTGTCCTGTTCAGTAAGCTTAAAAATGAAAATGGGTTGTAGGGGGGTTGTGGTTGCCTCCCTAAAGTGTTTCAGCCAAGGCTGTTTTTGAAAATGGTTGTGATCACTACTGCATAAAGCAGTGTGAAAGCTTAACCTGGTAGTGGGTTTTTTTTGTCTTTTCCTATGCTGTTTAAAATATGAGCTCTTAAAATTGCAATGAAAAATACATTAAAGACACCTGGGAACATGTTATTTCATGCTGACTATGATCAGAAGAATTCCACTCTACATCAAAAGTTGTGTATTTCATGTTGTGTATAAATACCTGTTGCTTCAGGTATTTAGTGTCTGTACTCAACATCAGAAATAATAAATATGTTGAAGCAAGTTTGGTTTGGTTTGCCTCAGGAAAGTACATTTGTCTGTAATACAGGATGCTACAAAATATATGTCTTTAAAAATAATATTAGCAAAAGGGAGCTGTGGGGGATCTGATTGAGTGTGCGATATGATGTTTTTCTCTTTAATTGAGATCAAGTATTGCATACTTTGAAAAGAAGATTAAACCCAAACTTGTTGCTCTTTTTGTGGCACTTGGTACCTGTGGTTCCGGAATCTTGTCTTGAGCTTTCTTGCTTTCAGAGCTGTAGGCCGTTTCCTGTGGAGCCATGATAGAAAATCAAATCTGCCTTGTGATATGGTGTGCAGCCTGATGAAAGACATTCTGAGAATACACAGTTACCAAATATTTAGAGGTGCCTGAATTGGGTTATTTATTTATTTGTTTGTTGAAACTGCGTGGTGGGCTGAGAAGATTCAGGTGTATGAGGAAGATGGCAGGATTTCAGCATGTTGTCTTTGGGACTGGAGGAAATGATGCATGTGTCAGTATTGGAAAGCTGATTACTCTGTACGGGGCATCAATGTAATCTGCATGTTTGGTTTTTGGTTTTTTTTAAAAAAAAAGCAACAAACAATCGCCCCTGTTCCCCTTTTTATTTCCATGTTGCTCTATTCTGATTAGTGATGCTCCTCTACTCCTCTGTGCCTTCATCAAAGAGTAGCTTGCATGTTACTAGTAGTAAAGGCTCAAATTAATTAAATACTAATTAAGATACAGTGTACGGACTTTGTGCACCTGATATAATTAGAATTTTTAGTATGTAGGACATAAACTTCAAATATGTATAAAACACTGGGGATGGAGAAGTACATTCTGTTGCTTAGTGAAAGATAACCCTTGATAGGGGTTGCTTAGGTAGTCACTGTGTGTTATTTTGAGTGTTGTGCCATTGGTTTATTTGCTAAATAATTTATGTCTGTGTTCAGGGTTCTCCATATCCAAATAAGACTTAAGTATGATAGATAATAACTGAGTTTTAAAACTCAATGGAAAATTACAATTACGAGCATTCAAAGTACATGGACCATGATCTCATAGAAAAATGTGTCAGTAAATGATTTCAATCTGTTTTCAGTTTCACTTTGTATTCACGTAACATTTACCTGTTTATAAACAGTAACCTGGAGGGTAATCCAGGCTGGATAACAGAATTCATGGTGTTTCTCCCGATAGCAGGTTGAAAATCAGGAATGAGATTGTATGAAGTGGGTGGTGTGAAGCAGTGTTGGGTGCCTGTAATTGTGTAACAGTGTGCGTAATTATTGTGTCTCAGAATAGCGTGAAACAGATGATTTAGTCTCTCAACATGTACCCTAAGATTAAACTGCTTTTTGAAAACACCATTATACACTTTCTAAACAATGTATAAAAATTGGAAAGAAAAAAGTTCAGAGATTTGTTAATTTATACATTTGGGGTAATGATTTAATGATAGAGTTAACTTTGATATTCTGGGTATCTTTTTCAAAAAAGCAGAAGTCCCTGTCTCTCACCCTCTGCTACAATTGTTTTTAAATGAAAGAAAACCTCTGAGAAAGCAGTTAATGTGAATTTTATGCCAAAAATTTTACTAGCCGCTAGAGGACTCTCTTGGTTTTTGTATCTGACTACATCTCTGCTCAGGTGGCTGTCCAAGTAGTAAATACAGATGATAATATTCCAGAGATTGTTTTCACAAAGATGAGTAATAATGAACCAGTAATTACTTTTAAAAATAAATATAGTTTTTTGTTATCATATTGTGCTTTGTAGTTATGTAACATTTAGGGTGTGCAAAACTGTATCCTTAAAAACAGCAGCATTTTTTGGTAGAGATTGCTATCTCATTTCTGTGTACTTTAAGGTATTTCTATGGGAGTGGATTAAGAGTTTTCTCATACAATTGCTTACAAACTGATGAGTTCGCTCGGCTGATAATGACTGGCCTTTGGACAAAGTAGACTTTTTTATGTTAATGCATTTTTTCTTTATTTTTAGTGGGCCTGTTCCAGTTTTGGTCATGAGTCTTCTTTTTATTGCTTCTGTGTTTATGCTGCACATCTGGGGTAAATACACTCGTTCATAGACTCAACTTAAAGCATACATCTTGGACCAAAAATATGATGGATCCTGGTTGTTCTTCAAGAGAGACTGGGGAAGCTTCCAATCACCTGTTGAAGTCTTGTCAACTTTGGCTCTAATACCGAATGAATTTCTCAGTTTGCTATCTGGGCAGATTTAAAGTCTGTCATAGGTCACATCTTATTTGTATCTGTACACTTAGAATACAGGTATTGCAATAAAAGTTGTATATGGAAATGGAAAGGGTCTTAACTGTATTTTTTCCTTGTATTCCAACATACCACAACTAAAACATTATACTTATGGTTTTCTTAGATAACTGTGTTTCTGAGTAAATGCCATTTGACAGTTCAAAACAGATTCTTCTATAGTGTACATTGCTGTATAATTTTATGCCAAAATGTCTTTTTTTTTTTTTTTTTTTGGTGAATGGGAGAGGCAAATTAAGGTGTGCAAACATGCAAAGGTAACAAACATGTTTGTTGAAATAAAATTGAGGTATAATAGCCGAGCTGGACATGTTCTTCTCTTAACTCCAGAAAAATAGCTGGGTTTATTTTGGTTATTTCCTAAATGCAAGTTAAACTTTATTCAGTATTTATGATAGATAAAAGTATATAAGTATGCTTAAACTATACTTTAACTGATTTTAAAAGTAATAATTGCGTGGCTGTCAAAGACATGTTTTTTCTGCGTGTCCAGACTATTTCAAGGAAACTTAGGGGGGAAGATGGAACAGGAGGACTGCAAAAGAAGTGGTTACATTTTAAATAACAGGACATGCAAATGAACTGAGATACAGCTAAGTGGCTTTTCAGATAGTTACTCCAGTTTCCTTCTGGGTGTTATTCTTTATTTTCCTTTTGAACAGCTGGACAACTTTTCCTTTTCTTTTTAAAGGTACGTACATACTGGTGCACTAGAGTTTCAGTTGTTTCTCACTCCTAATGTGGTCCTGAGATGCCAATGACCAAATCAGGCCTTTTCATACAATGGGATAGAATTATTTTAGCCTGTTGATCTTGTTATGATTCCTGTTTGAATATCAGCTTGTAACAGGAAAACAGTATTTTTGGTTATGTGCCCTTGATACAAGTGTTGACTGCTGACATGTAGAAGCAGCGTATTTTCTGCACCACCTCCCTATAAAGCAATTCTTAAAGTAGCATTGCTATTTTAAGGGAATGAAAGAGGAAGGGAAGGGAAGAAAGTGTTCAGAACAAAAAGAAGAATAAGGAATATGATCTCTGGGGATAATTGCTTTGAGCTGTGCTTATGCCATAATACCTAGTGTAAATGTAGACAGAAAGATAGAAGACTTGATAGAAACTGAAAATTGTCTTAGAAAATGTAATGGTAGGATGGTTATGTTTTCGGGGGAGTGGAAGTTGAGGAACAGGGAATTCTGGTGATTCAAAGGCATTTGAGTAGCAGAATACACTAAAGCGATGGAAACTGAGTCGAATAAATCCTGTATCAGAAGGAGAACGATCAGCAGATCTCTTACCACTGTGCGTGTGGAAAGCACAGGGGAAAAATAAAACAAGTAGGGGGATTAACTCACCACTTCAAAAGGTGGAGGTCAGGATCTCTTGTTTAAATGCTTTGCCTATCAAGAAAATAAAATCTGTAGTCAGTGATTTTATTTTAAAGGAAGAAAGAAAAGACCAAGTGCAAGTCAGTTGTTCTGCTGACCATGTGGACAGACACTGTTGCCGACTTAAACTGCGATTAAGGGAAAGGAATAAATGCAGTCTAAAATAGCGTGAGGGAAAGGAATAATGGGTAACAGTAGGTAATCTCTTCTTTACTTTTGATGATACAGTTTTATAACGCAGCAGGAAACAATTTTATTTGAAATACTTCTGATCCCTAAATGCTGTTTTGCCACATCAAATAATTCCATGTAAAGCCTTCAGTATTTTTGCTTGTCTGGTATCTTGCTGCCTCTAAAGACTGAAATCAGGTATGAACTCAGAAAAAGAGAAGGGGTGGGGGGAAGGCTACTGTACAACCTACATTTAATTCAACTGAATATAAAAATACTGACTATTTTGGCAGTGCTGTCCTTGATTAAATATTTTGTTGGCCTGTGTCATAGATTTTTTTTTTGTATACACTGTCAGAGTCTGATGTCTCTAGTTTTGCACAAATTACTTCCTGCCCCTTCCTGGCTTTATATTGTGGAAGTGTGAGCTTTTCTATTGCTTCAAAAATATTGCTGCTTTAATTCATTAAGGAAGTGGTGCTTTAGTTGGACGCAGTTAGCTCAAACGTCAATAGCTTTATGTTCCTTGTACATGATAAAAAGGCAGATTACTGTTGTATCTTTTAAGTTTCTGATCATTTTAATGATTAGCATGGAAGTGTTAGGTACTCATGCTCATATTTTTAGCATTTCATGTACATGAGCTGTAGTGGATTCTTGGAATAGGTGTTTTGTATAAAGACTTTAGCTTCACAAAAGTACAGATAAAGAAATGCTAGTTTGTAAAGAGTTACCAGAAGTTTGGCCAATAATGAACACGAAATTCTGTTTGGCCTGGGTGAATAAATCATGACCATGGTAATAAACAGTAGCTAATCTGTTATATAGAAAACTAATGTCTTGCAGTAATAGGTGGAAAAGAAGAAAGAATGGTCATTTGCAATACTTCATATCAAACAACAAGGAATTAGTAAGACTGGATTTTTATGCCTACAAGCTTGGCTGAACTGACTGTTAGAAACTGTAAATAACCTTGTAGTCTACATAAGTGCTACAGAAGGCTCTAGGTCCACAAAGATCTTTACTTTGTCTCCTTAACAATAAAGGTTCAGGAAATGTGGAAGAACTTATATTTCCATAGAAGATATGACAAAGTACTAGAATCTTTTATTCTTGACTTAAAAAAAAATACATTTGCAACCTCAGGCTGCTCCGTTATACCTCCGGTGAAGAAGGGGTTTTATAAGGAAATGGTCATGTTGTACATGAGTACATCTGTGTCACTTAAGCTTTCCCCTCCCTCCCCCAGCAGTAGATCTGAGTGTGTGAGTCAGCTTCAGTCCAATTTAACAGAGGAGTAGAAGCTGAAAGACGTTGTTCCTGAGGTCTGGATGGAATAAGTAGCTGGTGGAAGAGACACTAGAAATTCCCTCTAAGCAAAAGACTCAGTTTTAACTTGTTACCTGGGGGGAGAGCTAGACTTCTTAAATGCCTTTGATAGGAAAAGCTTTAATCCTCACCCTTGCACCTTTTTGCACACTGAAGTCTAGCACCCACAATCTATAGATATTTAGAGATGGGGGCTTCATTAATTCTGATGTTCTAGAACTACCTTTTTACTTTTGCTCTCTGTGCAGAAGCCAGCTCTACTACACAAAAGCAGTCTTTTGTTGTTGTTGTTGTTCTCTAAGCTTCACTATTTACTGCTATCTAGCTGCTTTCATCCAGGCCAACCTTTCTTGTAGCATGCACACAGCGTGTGAAGTCCTTCCATCTTTTGCCATCATGTCATGATAAATACTGCGCCTCTGATAATCCCTCACAATGTTTCTCATTCTTGAAGGCACCAAAGGAAAGGGCAGTTGTTAAAGTACATAATTTCTGACTGTCCCATATATACACAGCTCTTCTGCAACAAAAGGATTTTTTTTCTTTTATTGCATCAGACTCTGAATTTACCCTCCAAGAAGAGACTCTCAGCTCTTTCCAATGTCTCATCTATCTACAGCTTTCTTAAGCCCTCTGAGCCTATCAGACATACCATAAACTAGTGTAAGCTCTCTTCACTACAGTTCATAGTAAGTTACAATGCCTTTACTAAAGGCATATATATATCTGTATAGATACATGCATCCACATGTATATGGTTGCTTTATCAGTTTAGAAATGCAAAAGGATGTGTTTCTGAAACTGCTAAGATGGTACGCCCTTATTAGACTGCACTGTGACAGCAGTGCAAAGAAGCAAACAGAACAGCTTGTGTTCTCTTCCTCAGCTGTGTTGGCTAGAAATGAGTGGATGCTATACTGAGATCATGTGGTGAGGGCTAAATGATTTTATAAATATATTAATGGATTCTGTGAGGGACTTGGTAGAAAATTTTTTTTTTTTTTTGGTCTGGAAAAAGAGATACCTCTTGTTTCTTCAAAAGCTAACTTGTTATATATAAATGTTTATATAAATGTATTTCATGGAAGGCTATGTTTTGTATACTTGGCATTGTTAGCAATATAATAAGAGTATTAATGATTCCTAACTTGGAATGTGAGCTATAAGGGGATTGTTTGCCTTTTGGCTTTTTTTTATTGAGGGGAAAATTTTACAGCATTTGTGATTTCTGCTTTGATTTCACAAGTTGGTAAAAAGAAAGGCAGGCAAAACAAGAGCAGGTGGAAAGTTGTTGAGTACACCTCATTCCTGACATGTATTGTGACCTTCTTCTTCCTTCTGTATTCTAGTTGTCTCTTTTTCTTTGAAGACTGCCAATTATACTGAATTGTGTGATGGAGTAGGATAATGCTCTGATACAAAGATGTGGTGGGTAGTAACAACAGTGAACAGAACACCCATTTTACTTATGACAAAATCCAAGTTCAGATGTCAATCACCAGAGATTCAACACCTTTATCTCATATTCAGCTGCAGGTTGCAAATATTTATTCTTGTTTCTTATTTTGAAGGATTTTTCACACAGCTGCCTTCCAGAACAGTGTGTGCAATTTTTTGACCAACCAGAAATGGAGGAATTCTTTGAATCTCCAACTATCATTTCATAAAACAGAACTATGCAAAACTTTTCATGTGCTGCCTCCTCCAGATAGCTCTTTGTCTTAATATTAACAAAGTGAAAATCTAGCTAGTTTAGTGGTTTGGGGTTTTTTTGTTTTGTTTTGGTTTTTTTAGTTCAAGCATTTATCACTGAGTAAATATACTGACCTGTTTTCTTCCTCTGATAGTAGAGAGAGATCAAATGTATTTACAAATGCTGCAGAGGTAAGACATTATCTCAGTGAAATGTTTCCAAAATAAAATCAGAACTAAATTTACTGTCAGTACACTCCAGTTCTGGAGGGGTTGCATCTCCAACATCTATGAATTGTCAGACACCATTCTGTGACACTTTCTTCCAAGTTTATTAGCTACTGTTCTGATTGTTTTTCTGGTAAGGTAATATGAAAAGAACCTAAAGTAGTGTTGCCTTAAATTCTGCAAGTTGGCTGGTAAGTAATGTTATCGCTTTCTTACATAAA